GCGTTCCTCCTCCCCGTACAGCCCCCTCTCTCTCTCTCTCTTACACACAGGCCCATGTGCGCCTGCTCCCTGTGTGCCCCACGTATAAACACCGAGGACAAACCTCACTCTACCGCGTGGACAGGTTCCTCACAATCCCCAAACCAACTGCGCCGGTCTGCACACTACCTCAGGCAACGGGGCGAGCCGAACCGCTGCACCGCGGCAGCCAGCCGAGGGTGATGGTAGTGTTTGTGGCCCTACTTGGCAATCACCTCATCCACCTACGATTAGGACTGCCACACTAGTCTAGTAGTAGTGAGTACCACTATCAGGGAGGGAGAGAGGTCATGACACGAAGGCAGCGACCTCTTTACACGAAGTTGACTGTTGTGGTTGATACCACGAATACACACTGTGATGCCAAGTACTCCGGACGACCACGGTGATGGTGAGCTTATGCAGGGGGACTCGGGACCATAACACGGAAAGATTCATTACCAATTTTCTACCGCCAACCCCTCTCCTCTACTACTTCGTTCCTTCAGCTCTTTCCAGCATCCTCTTACCCTTCAAGCGGATGTATCCAAAGGTATATATATTAAAAAAAAAAACAACAACAACAACAACAACAACAACAACAACGAGCACCGCCACCGTGACGGCCAACGAGAGGAATGGGGTCGAGAGGGCACTACAACACCGCCCATGAAGACGGACAGAATCACCACCACGAAGAAGACAGACTCGATGGTGACCTTCAGGCGGGCTGGACCGTGATGAAGAATGGTAGCTGGTCACAGAACAGTTACCACAACCTCGGCCTCGCTGTACTGCCCTCCAATCATGCCAAAACGCAAATGAATCTTTCCCTAGAGCAGGGGAAGATACATCCACGTACCCCCACAGTGCTCCCGCAGCTCCCACCGCCTGTATCGGCCAAACCAGAGTCTGAACTCAAAATCTGCTGTGGTCAATCAATCCGCCTCTCTTCCTCTCGACCGCCTCTATTTACTCTTCCCTGTTTAGAGTCTTTATTTGCCCAAAACGGCCGACAAACGGCTGAGCAATCCCGTTTTTACTCTTCCCTGTTCCTCCTCTCTTCCTCTCGACCGCCTCCGCGCACCCTTTTTCTTCCCTTCCTCCCACTCCACTAAGTCTTTCCTCAATCTAACAACTCTACCTGGTTTGCCCTGCCTCAGAACCTCAGATCATCACCTTCCCCTGCCTTGTTCCGTTAAGAAGTGAGCATGCCGTAGCCTTCTTCTCCGCCACAGTTCCTAGCCCCGACGTTGTCTTTTTTTCTCTCCTTCGAACGTACCTGGCGCGAAACCGCGTCCAGGTTCATTGCTCCTTTATTATTGTCCAGGCTGCTCCCTGTCTCGTGCCGCTGTACTCTCCTATGCAATCTCCCTTCTCTCTAATCCTTCCTCTCTCTCCTCCTATGCTATCACCCTCCCGGCAGTCCACGCTCCCTCACCCTTCCGGACGGCATTCACCATTCAGCCAGCAAAGAGAGAGCCCGACCTCTCCATTTATGGGAGCCTGCCTTCTGCTGGGCCATGCTAGTCTTCTCTGTATCGTCCCAATCTTAACGGATGTCTCGAAGGACGAGCCGTGGGCACAGACCCGGGAGTACCATCCTAAGTTGACCGGGGCCGGGTAGTTCAGAACTCAAACTCCGTGGTCTGGATCCGAACACGTGTCTGTATTCCAACAGTTCATGGGTGCATCTACTGAGCGAGGTTCCGGAGTCTTCACAGCTGGCCCTAAGGTTGGCCCAGGACCAAGTCCCAATAGAGAAAGAAAATAAATAAATAAATAAATAAATAAATAAGTAAATAAAAAAATAAAAGTATAAAAATAAAGGAAACAAAGGTAACAGAAAAAAAAAAAAACGCAGAGAACTTTAGGAGGCCATGGAGTAGGGGAGAGGCAGTTGGTACTTGGGCCTCGGCCCTACCTCACGGGCCCGCGGTTGGATCCCCTCCCAGCAAAACTAAGGGGGGAACAATTCTGCAGGACCCTCAACCCCTCAGTTCATCTCCAAAGTGCATTGTTTTGCTCCTCAACTCCTTTGATACTAGTGGTTGGCCTCGATCTCAGGATCTGCAAGGTGAAAGTCTAATGCTGTAACCAACAGGGCTAAGCCCAAGCCTGGTTATAGTAAGCGCAGTACACATAAGGAGTAAGGGCAGCCTGCCCAGGCCTGCAAACAGTATCTCAGCCATTTCTCTAACTTACAGCCTGCGTCTGAGGGTCCGCTGGCACCCATGTACTACTTTGGAGGGCAAAGCCTGGTTACAGTCGGTGCAGCCCTACTCATAAAGGGTAAGGGCAGCCTGCCCAGGCCTGCCGTGCACCTTGCCTCACCACACTATGGTTATGGCCGGGCTCCCCTTCTCCCTCGTATTCCTCGGGAAGTTGCCCGTTCACTCTCCGTTGGGCCGAAACCCGCCCCGACTTCTACTCAGTCCGCCTCGACCCACGCCGTCCTAACAAAAGCTCGCCAGGGCTTCTACTGTTGGCGGCGCATGATCCGTCTAGTGCCTGCGACATTTCACGCAGTGCAACCCAGAACCTCCGGTCCCCAGTGAGTCGGACAACACTCCCCTCTCAGTCGCCGCCTTCCTTGGTCAATCTTTACGCCGTCCAACATTCTGACCGTGCGTGTGGGTCTGCGACTGCCTTCGAAAATCTAGCTTAACTTTAACCTGTCCTACCGTCGTCTCCTGGTCTTCTTCGACCCAGACTCAGTCAGGCTAACGCGTGCCCGCAGAGTGCCCGCTCACACACTCTCTAATCAACGCAAACGGGACGCCCCCTCAGATATCGCCAGAAGCGTTCTCCCTGTGAGTTGCAAATACGTGCCCAAATACCCTTGTAAGGGTATTCGGGCCGACAGCGGAGAATATTGCTCTGCGCGTCTTGCACGGATGGGTCTTCAAGTCTGGGAACCGCCCCCGAGGATACAATCTCGCTTTCCAGCACGCGTTGGAGTCGGTGGCGACGGACATTGCGCGCGTCATGTGGTACGGCGAGGAGTGGAGCAACGTCGTGAGCGCGGCCGTTTGCGCGCACACAATCGACCTCAACATGGACTTGCCACTGTGGTTTGTGGGCGCGAACATCGAGGACAGGCCGGAGGACGACGACATGGCGGCGCACCAAGAGGCGACCGTTATATGCATCGCGCATGCATTTCGCGCCGCGGTGCAAATGGGTGGCAACGTCGACAGCGGGTTCATCTCGCACGATCGTCTGTCAATAATTGCAGATTGCTTCAGGCTTTTGTTGGCTGCCAGCATGTGGTTGATGCGCATGGCGGGAGACGATCCGCGGCGCCACTACGAAGCCTTTTACTTCGCGAAGCCCACGCTCGTCGCGTCCATGCATCACGCCTTCGATCATCGATGGTCCGTCATCCGAGCCACGAATGCCATCACGGAGAGAATAGGGAAGGCGAACACCACATTCGGAGAGTACCCGAAGTACATCCTCGACTGCGCTTCCTGCGGCATTGTTTTCGGGCACGATGCGACCATAACGGGGCCCGAGGACGCGAAGAGGAGGGATTGGTTGGGTTTGGGTCCGTTAGAGGACGACGACGACGGCGATGGAAAAGACGACGTGTAAGGGGGAGGTGGGGGGGAGAGGGTGTTGCTGGTGCTGACACGTGCAGGGCGGGAGAGGGTACGCGAACGGGTCGCGTGTGCCGGCGCGGGTAAGGGAAGTGGAGAAGGGGGAGCGCTTGGCGGCGTCCGAGACGCAGGTTTGGTGGCGGCGCGTTACGAAAACGGATTGTTGATGGCCTCTCCCTTCGTCCCGCACGTGTACACCGTGTCGCTCGTGCTTGTAGACGCCCGACGTTTTCGGTCGTCCACTCTGGCAGGGGTCCTTGATGCAACTGCGGTCGTGGTTGCTTGTGGATGTGGATGGTGTTTGGCTGCCGATACTGGAGAAGCGACGGTAGATGGCGCTCTCTTCAGCAGATTGTAGGAGCGGAGTAGGTTTCTGCGATCTTCTTTTGTGTTGTTGTCGGCGCAGCTTGCAGCGAGACAAGTTGATTTCGCTTGGAGCGCACCTTTTTTTTTTTTTTTTCAATTCACAAGGAAATTTCGTCAGTTTGCATATCATGAGTGATCACTCATCACACACCGAATGGTCCTTGCCTTGTTGGATGTACATTCACACGTCTCATCTTCATTTGCATGTGCCATTGTCGGTCGTTGCTTTGTTTGGATTTTTTTTTTCCCTCCCCCAGTTATCCGAATGGCAAACAAAACATGTGTTTGTGTTCCAGTCCAACACTCGCAGGAAGACAAAGCACAGCGCATCAAACAACATGCGATGTCCCACAAAACATATTGTGAATATGCAATGGCACAATGCATCAACGCAAAGAAATAGCAACACACAATATCGACGCAATGAAATACGCACACACACAACGACAACACGTAATGGAAATCAACGAAACAAACTTTGAAAAGGATTTGCGATGTCGTTCAACAATTCATAGCGGAGACTTCAAAATCGAAGGCAGGTGGGGGAGAAGTTTCAGGCCCACCCGAATGACCAACAATGCTCTATCCTCTAAACTGCAACCGTTGTGCCCAAAATCGAGGCACTTCACACCCGCAGTGCGCCGTGTCCGCACTGCACAACTTCAACGGCAATCACAAAATTCAAGAAAATGGATGGCGACGCACGTTCGTGAATCGCGACGGCAACCAAACACGACCCTCGACGCAAACTACCGACCCCGACGCAGGACAGAAGCTAGCAACCCAATCAAGGCTGGACGGAACAACGAATCTTCCCTCCGGCCATTGCTACAATGAACGCGCTTCCACACGTTGTCGTCCATCATGGGGAACACGACCCTCCACGCAAACCACCAACCCCGACGGGGTACAGACGATAGCGACCCAATCAAGGCAGGACGAAACAACGAATCTGCCCTCCGCCCATTGCTACAGTGAATGCACTTCCACGCGCTGCAGTCCACGAATGAAACACGACTCAATCGTGTTTCATTCGTTCCGCCAAATCATTCCTCAGGGCCAAAGCTTCCTCTGTCGAAGTCATCATCGACACAGGCTGGAGGGGCTCTTCAATCCCCAGGTCCACACGTCGTCGCACACCATTAGCGTCGACCTCCCATAGCAGATTTTCTTGAGTCGATCAGTATGTTGTGCAGTATGCACACGGCGGTGAACTGCTGCGGGAGCGCCTCCAAGTTTGTCTCGTGTGTCCGCAGAAACAGCCGCCACATGCCCTTCAGCCTGCCAAACGCCCTCTCCACCGCTCCTCGCCACCTTCTGTTTGTTGTCAAACCGCTCCTCGTCGACGTGCTGATTGATGCCTCCATACGGGACGACCATCCATTCCCAAGGGGGGTAGCCATTGTCCGCCAGAACGTACCCGTTCGTCTTCACACCGAATGGCAGTGTCACGGGGGGACCACGGAACAACGGCCCCTCCTCTGCGCGCAGCGACAGGCTGGACAACTGCAGCACCCTGATGTCGTGGCAGCTACCGGGGTATCCCATGTGCACGTCGAGCACACGCAAGTCCAGGTCGACGACAACCTGCGCGACGATGGAGAAACGACGCTTCCTGTCGTAGTAGTTTTCGCTCGGAGCGTTCGCCGGCTTGTCGACGTAGATGTGAGTACAATCAATGCAACCGTGGCAGTTGGGGAACCATTTATCAGCAAACGCCCGCAGAACGACTAGTTTACGAACTCCTGTCGGCCACGCGATCTTCTCTCTGAATACCCTTAGCAGCGCGGTAGTAACATCGCGGACGGCAATCAGCCCAGAAGCTCGTCCAATCCCGAAGTTGCACGTGCTGCTCTCGTACGTCTCCCCTGAAGCCCACCTGTACAGTGCGTACGCCACAATCTGGTCCGGCTGCAAAGGCTCCCTGTAGAACGTGACCCGCCGCTGAAGATGAGGCGCACACGCCTCCGCRATTTCCCGGAACACTCGCGGCGACATTCGAAGCTTATCCCGGAAGTAGTCGTCTGTCGCGTCGTCGCATTGCCTGAGGTCTTCCCACATGCCTCCTGTCCTGCGCTTCACCCACCACCGTGGCATCGCACGAGGTATCACTCGGCAACCCAACGCGTAGCACAGCTGAACAACAGCCTCCGACGTCGCCACGTATTCGGCCCCATCGTACGGATCTTGCGTCAATGTCCTCCGTCTACACGCGCGCAACTGCTCCTTCAGTCGCCCCAGCGCCCTCTCCTGCGGACATCGAAGAACGATCGTGGACAGAGGCGTCGCCACGGCCTGCAGCTCACGAGGAGTCAACTAATCACGTCCACCCTCTACGCCGCCCTCCATAGCCGCGATGTGGAAACGGTCCCGTCGTTCCGCCGCCGTCTGTGTCGTCCTTCCGCACCTGACGAAGAAGCCGAAGACGTCCGTGGAAAGGCGGCCCCTTTTCTATGCTTACAGTCCCGCACACGGAAACGAGGAGCAACGCGCAGTCGACGTGTGCAAAGGTCCACGGCGATGGAAGCACCACACGCTGCCCGCGCAGTTGCAACGGCCTCAGGACGGAACCTCCGCTGCCGCTGAGCCCCTTTCCGCAGCACGCCGCCCTCGCGCCGCCAGCCACACGTCGTCGTCGTCGTCGCAGCAGTCGTTTGAATTTCGAATTTCAAATGTCCACGCCCTTGGGGTTAAATTTCTTTTCGTGTCGCCCGCCGTCAGCCGTTTCCCGCCTCGCGTCGCTGGACCACGCCGCCTCCACACGGACAAAAGAAGCTGGACCAAGGACGACCGCGGCCGCTAATTTACGTATGAAAACGGCCGCGGGGAAGCCACAAGGAAACATCCTCAGGGGAGGTGCCCAAGGATGAGTGGAACGACGCCGCAAATTCCCCTAAACAACCACAAGGACATTTCCTTGTGGCTCAAGGAAACCGTAAGGAGTGTCTAACGAGGCCCTATGACTGCTCCTTTTTTTAATGCAGAGAAAATCAGGGCAAATTTGGCCCTCTCCACCACTCCAAAAATGTGAAAAGGCAAAACTGCCAAGTGTATATTTTCACGGTCTAGCTGAAAGAAACACTCCCCTCCATCTTAGATATTTAAGGAGTACTGCAGCTACCTTGTTCCCCCGAATACAACGTACAGTCATTATAGCTGTATCTAGACTGAAAGATGCCTCAATACGGATATAATGACCGTGCGTTGTATTCAGGGGAAGAAGGTAGGTGCTAAGGTCCTATTATTCTGTCCAAATGTAGGTTTCAACTGTTCCTGATTCTGCCGATTGCCTCTCTGAAATCCGGGGGGGCGCCAGAGAGATGCTCTCTTAGAGTGAGGGGGGGCCCCTTTCTACAGGTCTAATAAATTCAATTTGGGCCATAGATGCCATACAATATGCCCTCTGCTCCACCGCCCATCTTTCAGAAGCGCATAAATTTTGACCCCTCGGCAGCGACGGCAGGCACAAGTTCATTTTTGTTTTCCGTTGTTTGATTCTGGAATTCCCTATCCCTGGGATCACGTATGTTTGTGTGCAAATCCAAGCGTTGCCGATTGCAAAATAAGCGAATGAACGGAGGAAATAATTTAATCAGAAATCTAGATCTTGGCATAGAATCAAGCCACAGCATGCTCTTGTTGGCAGTAATGAAGATTCCAGCAATTAGTGGTGCTAATCCTGTTTCTTTTTTTTTTTAACAAAGAAACTCTGCTCTTTTATTGCCACACAAAAAGGGGGAGGCCGGGGTCCAACTCCCATGTACCCGAATTCTCAACTTCTGACCTTAGATTACGAAGATCAACGGCCAGAAATGAAGAATCAGCGTAAGTGGGACTTGGCCCTGGGAATCCTTCCACAAACAAAGTGGTACTAATCTTTTTTTTTTTTTTTTTTTTTTTAAATGTGCTAATCTGAAGTCCTTGGGCCTAGGGAAGGGGAGGGGGGGGAAAGACAAAAAAAGGAGAAGAAGAAGATGAAGAAGAAGTCAGCCACACGTGAAGGTCATTGTGTACAGAGATTTTTTGTCCACTGGAAGGGATAGAGACAGGCATGACGATCTTGATCCCAGAGCAGACTTCTCAGATGAGAGAGGAGACACTCTCATTCGGCCTTATCCCACCACTCGCCAAAGGCCAAGAAGAAGAAGAAGAAAAGAAGAAGAAAAGAAGAAAAGAAAAGAAAAGAAAAAGAACTGGACAACAAACAGATCAGAAGCGTTGGCTTGTATTTTTAATAAAGACAAGACTTGTGTTTAAAAAAAATATATATATATATATAAAAAAAAAAATGGTTGTCAGTTGTGAAAGCCAAAATTTACTGCAGCTCATGTGAGGCAGCTGACGTCAGAAAGGTGATCAGTGGCTTCCGCGCTGGACTGACTACCATCTTCACCTGAATAGAACGCCCGGCGGTCATTATAGCTGCATTTGGGGGCAACTTTCAGTCTAGATTCACCAGCATCTTATTCAGGTTAAGACCGCAGGGAGAGACAGATGGGGATGGCAGGGCAGAGGTCGCTCTGCAGAGGGTGGTGGTGCAATATTGAGCAGAAGCATCTGGGGTCAGCTGACTGCCACCACAAACTGAACTTAAACCACCAGTACCTTTCCCAGCTTGAAAAACAAATGCCCGCCGGTTTACACTGGAGGCGGGCAGGCTCGGGACTACCGGCGCGAAATGGCTGGTTGCGCCAGCCAAAATGAGGCCCGCGCCGGCTCGTTTTTCTTTTGCCGCACAGGGCAGTTTTAGCCTCGGCATCCATCGCCAAGAAAGGTACTGGTGGTCTAAGGGATTGGACCTGTANTTTTTTTTTTTTTTTTTTTTTTTTTTTTTTTTTTTTTTTTTTTTTGACCTGCAGTTCTCTAGGAGACCTCCATCCAATTTCCCGGAGCGAAGTCCCCACTTGCCTAGTAAATTCTTCATTTTTTTTATTTTTTTTTTCTTCATTTCTGACCCTCAATCTCTGCAATCTAGGATCAGAATCGAAGGATACGGGTCAGTGGGACTTGGTCCCCAGATCTATTTCCTCCTGCTAGTTTGTATGTGGTGAACTTAGAATGGTTGGGCGGGTGCGAGTAATCGAGTAATGTGTTTTGATTCCTCCTTCATGTGGCCCCTCAGCAAAGGCTTTTTCTGAGATTGGATGTTCCTTTTTTGTTCTCTTCCCTTTCGACCACAGTTCCAACCCAGTCGCCAGCGCAGGCCTGAGATTAAAACACCGGTACTTCCGAGGCGCTTTTCTCTGGGGCTGGAAACGACCTGCTCGCCAAAACAAACGAACTGGCGAGGTCCTCCTTTTGGCCGACTTCACCAGCAAGTTTGCCCGGAGGCCAAGCACTGTAAAGTTGCACCTGCATGCACGCCGCATATTTTATTCTTTGGCTGGGAAACGGACTGGTGGTTTAATGGTCCTTTTGGCAGCTTTGCTAGGCTGAAGGGGTCTGGGTTGGTTTTCTTGACTTTTCATATTCCAAGCAGGGCAGTCAATCCCGAGGATATGCGACTAATCACTAATGCTGCCCAGCTTTCCACATGAAAACGAACGTAGAGGAAGACTGAGTTAATCCCCTTTCAAGAGTGCAACCAATGGTGTGTTTCAGTGTATAAGCAAGCGTGAACCTGGAGGCAGTTCATCCCCTTGATAGAGGGCAATCAATGCCGCTCTCCTCGTCACACTTCTCTAATTTTGTTGAAAGGGACCCTGGAGCCGGTTTCCCCGCTGGTGCAGCTTCCCACCAATATAGATTGAAGCCATCACAATGGGAGGCGGCCACTTTTGGAGGATGCACGTATGACCTCCAAAAGCCGGCTCACCAGTCACTGTGATGTTTGAAGTTTGAACAAAAATTAAAACCACCACAGTGACTGGGATAAAGGCCTTGCAAGCGGTTTTTCAAACCACAAAAAAAAAAAACAGAACAAGAGGGGGGAAAAAAAGACCTTGGAAGTATCAGTTCCCCAAAAACTAATCTCCGAAGGGCAGTACGCAAACTGCACTATCTGCCCTCAAAAGCAATCACCTGTACCAAGGGACTGCAGTCATTATACCCGTATTTTGGGCCCGATAATGACCGTTCTAGTGGGTTGAAGAAGGTAGCGGACCATCAACCAGGGCTGTGATCCCTGTGTACTAAAAGGTGCAGGGAGAAGTCCAGGTTCCTGCTTTCCATCCATGGCTCACCGTTTGGACAAATGCGTTTATGTCACAACAGAGTTTGGAATGGGTAAAAAAAACACAGTGGGCGAAAAGAACAGTCGCTAAAATTTACAGGGAAAGTACCACTGTCGTTGTGTCAGGCTGGGTGTCAAAACTACAGGGGTGGGCTGTGGTGTCAGACGGGAAAGGAAAAAGAAAAGAAGGCCCAACAGATCTATTTCTACTGAAATTGCCCTTTTAAGTTCGGCGGCTGTTCTCCTTTTTTTTTTTTTACCTTTTTTTTTTGAAATAGCTGCACGAGTGGCCGCTGCACAGTTCCGAATTCGCAGGAAGGAATAACAAACAGGGCACTGCCGTTCTGGGCCGAGGGAGGGCAGTTAGAAAAACTGCAAAAACAGAAAGATTCTGAACAGCTTTGTGCACTTCTAGCAGTTGGAAGTTTGGAAGTGGCAAAATTTTGTTTTGTTTTGTTTTCCGCGCCTGCTTATGCCACGGCCGAGCTGTCTAGGCCACACCCGTGGCTGGGCCATGGCCAAGATGTCTTGGCCACGCCCATGGCTGGGCCATGGCCAAGATGTCTAGGCCACGCCCGTGGCTGGGCCACAGCCGAGATGTCTAGGCCACGCCTGTGGCTGGGCCACGGCCGAGATGCCTAGGCCACAACCCTGGGGAAACGAGCCAAAAATGGGAGGGCCTGCTACTCCCAGGCCAGGCACGGGAAAAAGAGCGGCACCACTGCCGCCACATCCCGCTTTTGCCAATTATTGAACCGGTAGGCCGTCGAACGCATGATTTACTGTTTTTTTCTTGCAGTTTCTAACTGGTCTTCGCCCAAGCTTGCAGAGGGCTGTTATTTCTGCAAATTCTGAACTGTGCAGCGGTCACCGGCGCAGTTGTCTCAAAATATTATTTATCAATAGGTTAGTAGGTAGGATGTTACCTCAATGTGAGTGGCATATTGAGTGGAAGGGTTGAGTATCTGTGACGTGA